AGTGTGACTTATGACCTGTTTTGGAGATATCCGGGGTCCTGTATGGCTAATTTAATAAATGAGATAACGTTAGAAGAATGGCAGCAAACACTTGAACAGGTGAACACAAACTCAGCGCCAGGTCCTTTAGGCATTGGATATACTATAATCAAACACATTTCAGACAAATCCAGCTCCATCATATTAAAGATCATAAATTTGTCCCTGAAAATAGGAGTTGTACCAGACCAGTGAAAACAGTCACTTATTCATCCGATTCCAAAACCACAAAAATTTGATTATATTTTGGCCAACACGCGTCCCATAGCATTGCTAGATAATATCAAGAAATCTGTCACCAAATTATTGACAAACCGATTAAGTACAATTTTGACACATAATAAAGTTTTACGCAGATTGAATTTTTGCGGTCTTAAGGAAGAAGATACAGCAATACCGTTACATTTAATGAATGATATAATTGAAGATGCAAGGGAAAATGGAAAAAAACTCTGGATGGTAACCCAAGATATGATGAAAGCATACGATTCAGTTAGCTTAGAGAGTTTACAGCTTGCACTAAGAAGGTTAGACATACCAGAAAAATTTATTTTATGGATTACAGGATTATTCAAAGATAGACAAATAAGCGTAATTACAGCATTTGGCCTAATTCAACCTTCATAGGGGGAGATGGTATTGACCAGGGTGATGCAATTTCACCTTTACTCTGGAGAATTTTTTACGATCCTTTGCTTGTAGCTATTCAACAAGCATGCAATCAATAACAAGGATATGAAATGGTAAACACTTGGCCAGTGGATATTCAGGATCGTTTAACATAGCAACAATATAGACTAAGAGTACCAGTTATAGCCTATATGGATGATACGAGTTATTTGGATAGTTCGGGAGATAAAATTCAGGCATCAATTAATATAGCCACACAATTCTATCATTTCCATGATGTAGATATAAATGGGAAAAAGTCTGAGCTGATGGTAATAAATCCTAAAGTGCCTAGAGATGAATTATATATCACTATTGGACGTGACAACTCAAAGGTCCAAGCCACAGATAAAGAGATACGGTATTTAGGATGCTACTTCTCTTCTTCCAATTTAAGGAAAAGATCAATCAAAAGAATCAAGGATATAATTGAAAAATTTTTGAATCCTATTAGAAGAAAACGTATTACAGTAGGACATATTGCATATCTTATTAATCATGTTCTTATCCCAAAAGTGGTATATGTGGCCCAATTAATGACATTATCAGAAAATGAATGGAATCTTTTGTTTACTCCAGTGATTAAATTAGTTAAGCAGATATGTGGGTTGCCTAGAAGTTATCCAACATCAGCAATATATCATCGATACATCTTAGGAATTAATAATCCATGGGATCAAATATGTGCAAATCAGATCACTACCTTTTATATCTAATAAATAGTAATTCACCGGCATCTAGTTCTATAATGATAAGATGTAGGACTGCACAGTTGCGTTTGGCCATACATGACAATATTTTTGAACATGAATCAGGATTATTATTTCTAGGACATCAAGAAGCAAAATCTAATCTAAGTCTACATAATATTATTATAGCCCAGAAATTAAACATTATCATACAACAAGATTACATAAATAGGTCAACATGGACTATTAGTGGTGGAAATATGCCTATTAGAGAAATATTTATAACACATAGATGCCTCAATTTATTACGAAAAATTGGAACTTCAAATTCATACCCACTTATTTATGTTAGCCAATTGATGTTACCTTCTGGACATACTATGAGTTGAGCGTGTTATCATTTCATTGCAGGGCTATCAGCAAAAGGACGCATAGCCAAATGGTTTCAATTATTAACCCGATGGATTAAGGGAATATTAGCACTAGAAATGCCTAGATATTCCTTATTTAACTTTTTGAATAATATATTACAACCGGTATCAGAAGACAAGCGAAAATACCCATATGTTATAATAAAAGATAAAAATAATGAAATCTCAGTAGGATTTGTTAAGAAAAGAATACAGATAAAGAAAAATGAGGAAAAAATTGAATGTTTAATTATAGAAGTTTGTAATATTGAAATATGTTCAGATAATTCTCAAAAAGCAATTATTCAGAAACAGGAATATCCCAAGATGATTACAATAACCCAATATAATGCATTAGTATTACCAATTTTTATTCGTTTATCAACAGGTGCAATTACACATATCGACTGGTATTATATAGTGGAATCGTTAAATAGAATTAAAAATATTTCAGCAAATAGTGATATACAACAATTGGAAAAAACACCTATAATTAATTTGAATGAAGATAATTTAGGTCTATGGATCAATCGATAGATCGAACAAAATACACTTAAACAAGAACTTACAAATATAAGACATCAATTAAAGTTATTGAAAAACATTGAATATTATACAGATGGATCATTAGCTAATCAGACTATAGATAATAATGACCTTTTACATAGAGCAGATAATACTACTGTGGATTTAGGAGCAGCATTCTATACAAGTAATGAATTAGGAGAATTTTCAGTATATTCATGTTTATCTTTATGTCCATCATCAACCAGGATAGAAATAGTAGCTATTTTCTTGGCATTGTTGACAGCACCAGAAAATTCTAATGTAACTATTTATATAGACAGCTTAGGTGCTATTAATTCAATTAATTCAGCTTTTAATTCAATAACTAGAACATGGCTTAAAAAGACCAATAATCTAATTATTATTAAAATAATTATGCTGATCAGAGAAGCATCTATAAATTTAAAGTTGGTTAAAATAAAGGCATAATAGGCAATGATATAGCTGATAAATTAGCAAAGAAAGGACTAAGGTTGCTTGCCGAAACCTAGGGGTTTAGGCAAGATGGCGTTTCGCCAAAAAGCGAAATACTGCCGAAACTATATTAAAGTTATATTAAAAAACTGGCGAAACTTTGGAGAAAGGCGAAACTGCCGAAACTTATTATAAATGCCGAAACTGCCAAAACTCTGCCAAAACTATAATAAATCTATAGTAAAATTTTGACGAAACTAATCGTAGGATTTTGAAGAGGTTTAGACAAGCAACCTTAGAAAGGACGATGTGGAAACAATTTATTCAGGAATAATATAGATTTTATTAATAATATATTATCTTATTTTCCTGTTTTTATAGATAAACCTATTGAAGTTAATATTAGAAGATTTATTTTGAAAATATTAGCTACAGGTGAAGCTACTGAATGGTTTTTGTTAAAAAATAATCAGTAATTATTTTATGGAGATGTTAATCAGATAGACTGGAAAATTACTTGGCTTATTTTCCATTATTGCAAGGGGTTTTACTGCAATAGTATGAGAATCAACTATTTATGGACTTTTATAGCAAAATTATTTCATAAAATCCTTCCATTAGGATCTATTTTAGCAATAAGAAAACTAAAACTCTACAAGGAAATGAAATGTATTATGAAATGTAATAAGAAAGAAAATTGTAATCATTTATTTGAATGTCATTCATATGAGGTAACTTGGCAAAAAATATTGGAAATTACAACAAAAGAATCTATAATTATATGTTTGAAACAAAAACAAATTAGATGCCAAGGTGAAGATTTTATTAGAAAAGTATTACAAAATATATTAGGAATTACAGCAAAGTCAGAAAAATTTCAAAAGTTCTAACATTTGGCATTAGAAGTAAAAGTTGAAACTTGTCTATCAATAAGATTACAAAAAGACTTCAAGATATCTCTTGCTGAGGCATAGACACTTATGGCTAACATTTTAATTTGATTTATTCTAGCATTTAAAGAATTAATATGGAAACCAATATGTGAACAAGTTATTTTATGTGAAAAAAGAGAAGGTATTTTTCGAACAGATAAAATTACTTCAGAATCCAAAGCAAAGGACAATTCAAATCAACTTTCAGAATTCAAAGTAAAGGACAATTCAAATCAACTTACAAATAAAGTTAAAGATTTACAAATGGGAAAAGTAGATTGATTACAAAAATCAGTCTCTTTGG